CAAGAACATCAAGTCTGTATATATATCCATGGACAGGTGTGACTCTATACTGCAAATTTAAGTTATACAGTTACAGAACAGATAATGGAAAAAAAAGTTATTGCCGATTTACGATAATGTCTCGCGACTACCGACATAAAAAATCGTCCGTAGTGGCGAGACACTATCTTAAAATCAGAGTCTTCATCGTTCAAACGTCACAAAAACAAAGGAATCAAAGAGAAAGAGTATAATAATTGATGCCTTTAAATCATAATATTGTTTCATTCAATCATAAAAATACAGGCAAATATTTTTCTCATTGTGAGCCGCTAATCCATGTCACAGTTATTAAAAACATATAAGCTTTTCTTCCTGTTCATCTTTTTCAATTTAAACTATAGTTATGAAAAATATTGTCGACAAAACGTACAAAAATTATATCAAATTCATTAGGACATGTACAATATTATTAGATATAAAAAAGCCACTGCCGACAACAAGTGTCTCGCCAATGCGGAAACAGCATTTTTTGGTAATGACGATGTACAATCCTATGCATTGAAGAATAATTCATAGTGCTCTGGAAATTTTGAAGGAAACTTAAATACTAAAGACTCAAAACATTTAACCCTTCAGAAAATTTCGGAAATTTTTATATATTATCACTTATACCGATGGGAAATAAAACTTTTAAAATATCTTGAAACTGTTATAAACAGTATAGCGATATTTCGTACATCAAAAACGTATGTATCATATTGAAAAGTTAAAGCACAATAAAACTTGACTTTCAGGCCAGAAGTGCCAGCACAGTCAGTTCAGCTGTCTGAAATATCCTAATGTCTCGCCACTGCGGACAACGCCTTATACAATTTTCAAAATTATCAAAGATAATATGGAACCTTTAGAAATTATAACAAAAGGTAGAAACGTATATGGACATTATCAAGGCTTCTTGTATGTGGGATCTGATAGCAAAGGTGCTGTGAAATATTGGAAATACAAAAATAATAAAAGTTGTTCAGCACGCTTGACCACTATAAATACAGGCCGAAATCTGTTGATTAGAAAGGGTGGTTCAGCCGAGTCTCATATCGGTCATGGACCTAACCCCGATGAGGTTGAAGCTCTGTGCGTTATGTCAAGAATAAAGGTAAATTCATGCTAAATATAAAATAAAATAGAAATGTATAAAAAAATATTTGAATAGAAGAATTTTTTTGTTTATTTTGAAAAAAAATTTTTATGTGCAGCGAGCAGCACAGACTCATCCTGAACGTCCACCTTCTGCAGTAGTGCAGGAAGTGCAAAATGTCACAGAAGCTGTGCAATCACAGTTGCCCGACTTGCCTAGTATATATAAGACGGTTCGACGAGAATGCCAGCGATTAATGCCTGCTAACCCTACAAGCATCGAAAATCTGGAAGATTTGCCTGATACATATACGAAAACTTTAGTCGGTGAAAATTTTTTAATTTATGACTCACATAGTGATGAAAAGTACAATTTGACCTGTGGGAGAATTTTAGTATTTGCAACGCGAGAAAATTTGAAAAATCTTTTTAAATCGGACATTTGGTACCTGGATGGCACTTTTCAAACGGTTTCTTCCATTTTCTTTCAGCTGTTTACAGTAATGGGATCTGTTAATCAAATTAAGAAGGGTATAGAACGAAAAAAAGCTTTTCCTTTCGTTTACGCCCTTTTAGAAAGCAGGAAGCATATGCAAAAGTTTTGGAAGTCATATTGTCATATGCTGAAATCATTGGTATTGTTTATGGTATATTTAAAAAGGAAAGGGGATTGGGACTTTGTGTAGGAGACCACACTGCATTTTAAAGGATTAAGGGAAAGTTTATTGTCAGAACACCAACTAACTAGGTGATTTAGATTATCCTGAAGAGCATTTCCGTCATTTTCGATGTTGGATATGGAAAAGAGTTTCAAGTCGTCAACAAAGAGTAAGTTGTCCACAGTTAGGTGATCAGTAACATGTTTATATACAGGCACAATAGAGCGGATCCAAGTACAGAGCCCTGGGGAACACCAGATGTTGCTATAAAATGAGTGGAAGAGAATCCTTCATATTGAACGAGGTTCGGTCGGTTGGTTAGGTAGGATTGAAGTGTATTAATTAAGTTGGACGGCAGGTCTAATTGAGAGAGTTTCAGATAAAGAATTTTGTGATCAACCTTGTCGAAAGCCTTTGAGAAATCTGTATAAATAGCGTCTACTTGAAAACCAAGGTCGAATGCTTTGAAAAGAAATTGGGTAAAGTATATATTTATACATTTAAATGCATGTATATGATTTATCCCACGCCAAAGTGTAAGTCCATCGGCAATTGCATCTCGGATTTTTTAAAAAAAAAATTTCTTTTAGTACTAATTGAGACTAGCTTCCATGAATTTTTAAAATTTTTTTTAGCAAGCCGTTTTCGAGTTATGTAATTTTGAAAATTGGAGAATTTTCATGACTTTTAATTTTCAAATGCTCATAACTTCTTTAAAAATGCAACAATTCTAAGAGTCTTTTTTTCAAAATGTGTGTTTTTAAACGTACTTTTCAAAAAAATCGAAATTTTTTTATAAACGATATTACTATCAAATTTTTGAGTTTTTATGATAAAAAGTCATTTTTCTCATTTGACGTACTGATCAATTTTTTTCAAAAAAATTACTTCTTTTTACGAAACTTTTAAGCTTAGCCCGATAATGGGCAAACGATTTTTATAATATTTTCGGAATTTTTTAAAAATATTTTTTGGTTTTTTTTAAACTACGTACTTTTATGTATTTTGATGCGCTGATTACGAAAATCATAGTAACAATATCCAAAAATTAGATTTTTATCCTGAAAACCATAAAAAAGTATTTTCCGAAAATATTGTAAAAATCGTCTGCCCATTATCGGTCTAGGCTTAAAAAATTCGCCAAAAGAAGTTCTTTTTTTGAAAAATTTTGGAAAAAATCGATTAGTACGTTAAATAAAAAAATGACTTTTTATCATTAAAACTCAAAAATTTGATAGTAATATCGTTTATAAAAAATTTTCGATTTTTTTTAAAAGTATGTTTAAAAATACAGATTTTGAAAAAAAGACTTTTAAAATTGATGCATTTTTAAGGAAGTTATGAGCATTTGAAAATTAAAACTCATGAAAATTCTCCAATTTTCAAAATTTCATAACTCGAAAACGGCTTGCTAAAAAAATTTTTAAAAAATTCGTGGAAGCTAGTGTCAATTAGTACTAAAAGAAAAAAAATCGGAGATGTAATTGCAGATGGACTTACACTTTGGCCTGGAATACATCATATACACGGAGAGAAAAAATAAGCGTTTATAGCATGAAAGTTCTACCTTTAAACGCATGGGACATGAGCATACTACGATTGCACGAAGTTTTGCTTTTTCGGTATAGTTCTATGCAACTGTAGTATAAGGCCACGCCTCTTAAGCAAGACCGTCCACACAAAATTAACATACAGGGCTCCCATACTACAAACCCTTGATTTTTCTCTCCGTGTACTAATATGTATACCAATCTTTTGTGTTGAGATGCATTTTCTAAAAAATTAAACTCTAAATTTCAACCTTCGGGATTTATTTAATGGTATCTCGCTTGAACGATCAGCTAGGATTTCAATTCAAACGGATTTGTAATGTCGAAACCTACCTTAAAACATCCACATTTGCCGATTTGATCGTCATTTTTGGTCGGAACTTTCTGGCTTCCTGACCACTGTGACATAAAAACGTTCCCAAAACTTTAAATGCGTTTTTCTCGAAACAAGATTTTTCAAACTGGGGGGCATCGTAGCTTCTAAACTACTTGACCAATAACTTTGGGTTTGCGGCTAATTGAAGGTAACTAAATTGTGCTAGGTTTATACTTTTAATATGATACAATTGTTAACAATAACAGGGATTTTCATTAGGTTATATTTAGACGCCCAGGAAAATACAGGCAGTAGATACGCTTTTTATAACATAATCAGAAAAATTCAATCATTTTCTAACATATATCATAAATAGCTCCTAAATCGTCAGTCTTATTAAAAAAATTTTAAGTACTTTTTTATAAGAAATTTAATGCCTTTAATTTTTTTTTGAAAAAAATTTAAATCGCTTAACTGCATCCGGAGACAATTGTAAATTATTAAATTCATTTTTTTATAATTTCAAAAAATAGAAGAAAAACCATCAGAAAAATTCACTTACTTTCTAACTGACTGACTCACTGATCGACTCAGTGTCTGACAAACTGCCTAACTCACTGACCGACTTGATGACTGACTCACTGATCGACTCAGTGACTGACTAACTCACTGACCGACTCGCTGGCTGACTGACTCAAAGTTCTCAAAGTAAAAAATGAATCAACTAAATCAGTTACTTTTGGTAAATCTAAAACGTAAAGTAAAAAATCATAGAATAAAAAATGAATCATTTAAATCAGGTACTTCTGTTAAATCTCAAATGTAAACTAAAGAATCATTGCTTAGAATCAGTGAGTGAGTGAGTGAGTCAGTCTGTCAGTTAATCAGTCGATCTGTCAGTCACTGAGTCGATCAGTGAGTCAGGCAGTGAGTCAGGCAGTTAGAAAGTAAGTGAATTTTTCTGTTTCATTTCTTACTATTTGTTATTTTACGGTTTCTACGACTTGACGAACTTGCAAACTTCAGTGAATCACAGCAACCGTAGTTAATCTTTTTTTGCATTTTGCCTAAGGAAACATTTGTTAAATATGACTTCAACAACAACATATCCAAAAACTAACCATTTTGACCGGGAACCAATTTGTATACATTTTGTGCATGGTCATATTACATTAGGAAAGACAGTGAAATGCCGCGAGTCAAAATCTTTGTAACCTAATGTAATTAATTTAATAAGAAATTCAGAGGTGTTCTTTAAAAATATAAAAATAGATTCTACATTATTTGATTAAAAGTCTTATTAATTAGATGTATATCAATATAAAAATGGAATAAATGTTATATTTTTGCTATACTTACTTTGTTTGTGCGTGGAAGTATTCGACCAAGTGCTGCAATAACTCAATACCTTTCTTCGTTTTAATTTCATTATTTTTTATTAGGTACTGTAAAAAAAAAAAATTTTTAAATATGCTTTTCGGGTTATATATAATATATATATATATATATCATGTTTGTGAACATTTTGAAAAGTTCTTTATCCATGTAAAATGGGGTAAATTAAGTATTTCTTTACTTCTTGTTAACAGACTTTTACAACATTTTTCATATTCACTATTAAAATAAGTTCATTCATAAATTTTAAAAATTTATTAACTAGAAATATGTTACATCTCAGAAGAAGATTAAAGAGAAAACTTATGATATTTTATTTTTAAAACCTGCTTTATTTATGAAGCTAAAGTCTTCGAACTATTCGTGTGGATATGGACCTGATAATAACATGGCGTGAAAGAGGCCCTTGCCAGTTTTTAGGGTTTCGTGGCTCAGGCCCGAAAGCCTTATAGTTTAACTGTGGCATCCGTCCGTCCATCGAACACTCGTATGGTTGGTATGGTAACAGTTTCCATAGCAACCGTTACCATGGTAGTAAACGTTAACTTAGCAGGCCACGAAACCTTACAATGGAGGTACCATGCCACAGTGGGCTTGGACTAACTATAACCCAAATGTACTGGCCCATCTCGGCTCTATTTAGATATTAATTCCACGTTATTTTCTGAGTAATTTGAACCTAAGATGAGAAAAATCGGTAGAGGGATTTACAAATGAAGGGTAGAATGACAAAAGTGGTCAAGCGCCAATTTATCGAAAATGAGGTTTTTGCATAAAAAAATCGAGAAAATTCATTTACACATTTCTGTAGAAGGATTTCCTTTTTTATTGCGTATTTAAATCAGTTTTTAATAAAAATTAAATTAATAAAATAGCCTTTAATTTACTTTATTGCAACCTGATTGAAAAACAAAAAAAAGTGGTGAGTCAATAATATTATGCATAACTTAACAAATTTAAAAACATTGCTTTTTACAAATCGAAAATGCCTCGCAGATGCGGAAAAAAATCTACTAATAAAAAAGATATTGTTAAAAACAAAAGATATGAAGGTGAAATGTTTTTATGAATTTCATTCTTCACATTTTTATCCATCTGTTCAATTTTGATCAAAAATATTATTTTTTTAGGTTTTATTTTAATATTTTATTTTAATAATATTTTAATTAATAAAATTAATAATAATAATAATATATTTTCAATCAAAAAATGGACTGATTTTAATAAATGGAAAAACTGTTTTTATATTAACAAGTGGCGACCGTGACAGGACGCTAAATTTGGTGCATTTCAGTGTTTTCGGAAAGTTTTAGTTGTGAGTGAAAATGGAAGCCGCTAAGAAGAAACGGACGGCGACGCGCTCATCGTTCACTAAGTTACACAACGCGTTTCAATCCAAGATGGCTGGCAATTATTCCATAGAGGACAGAATGGTCGCGTTTCAAATGCTTGAATTAAAAATGGTCGAGTTAGACGCAGCACATGCGAAATACAACCAATTTCTCTATAAATCGGATGCCGCGGATGAAAAATTGAAAAAGAATTTGAAACAGACGAGCCATATAAGTCTTCATTTGTCACTGCAGAATTGAGTATGGCAAGTCTGGATTTTCCAGAGATGAGAATGAGCCACGTGGTTTCTGTTATGGCGGATCGAAAAACTATAAAGCTTACTAGTATCGAATTGCCCAAATTTAGCAAAAACATTAGAGAATGGCTTCCCTTTTGGAGCCAGTTCAAGAAAATCAATGATGATAACTCTTGGCGTCACTAAAGAAAAATGTATGGCCATGTTGTTCCCTTTGGTCGAGTCGCCACTTCCGGATGAAATACTCAGAGCTTGGCAGAGAAGTGAACAGAGAAGATAAATTGAAAAGGATGAAGAAAGTGAGACAAACGATCGATTAACGAAGCTGCTTGAATTTCTCCGATTGGAAGTCGAAAATGAAGAGCGGATTGATTTGGCACTCACCAGTTTTTGATTGTCATCTGGATCAGAAGCATTAAAGAAGCCGAAGGGTAAAGTAGATTCGATTAAAGATGTATCTACTGCAAATGTCCTTTTGGTATCTAAGTCCGGAAAAAATGTATTTGTATTTTTTGTAAATCAGAGCATGAGAGCAAGACCTGTGAAGTCGCGCGAAAGTTATATTTTAAAGAACGAAAAGATATTATTAAAAAAGATACGCACTGCAAATGGTCTATAGAAAAATAAAAAATTTGTTTTACGTAGATATTTGCGTGGTTAGTGTCGAGTCAAATAAAGTGTGAGAAAAATTTGTCAGAGAGGCTACAGAAATTTTAGCATCGGGAGGCATCTTCGGGTTTGGAAAAATTCGGGAGATTTTGAAGAAAACAAGTATTCATTGGTCCTGGAGTGTGGTGGAACAAAAGATGCCATACAACAGCAATTAATCCGAATGTTTTAAACTTTGAAAATACGAGTGTAGTTACGAAAAGAAACATATTATCCGCAACACACAAAATTTATGATCCCTTTGGAGTGACCTGTTCAGTGTCGCTTCTGCCAAAATTGTTAATTCGTAAATTATGGGACAATAAAATGGGTTGGGACACAGAAATTTTAATGTTAAAACAGATAGAGATTCCGCGCAAATTAGAACGCAGCGATTTAACATTGCACGTTTTCGGAGATGCGAGCGGGTTGTCCTATGCTTAAGTAGTTTTTGCACGTGTAGAGTACGAAGGTACTTTGGTATTGGTATTGGTATTTTTACAAAAAGAATGTTCTCAGGCGACAACGGAAATCAGCTGTCATCGTTTAAGACGTTTTTAAATGAAGACGGTATATAAGTCTTAAAAATGAAAATTGTCAATAGAATCGATAGTTTTCAATTCCGATGTCTCATTTTGTTGGACGGAAAAAATGAAGTTGTTCGGCTTTTAGTTCGTGAAACCCACGAAAGATTAGGACATGCAGGAACTTTAATGATTTTCAGTTACGAAAAGTGATAAGAGCTATTTTATCGAATTGCATAATGTAAGGATTATTAAATAAAACACTTAATTAACATTATATAAGCTTATTAGTTGACTTCTCATTTTGGTGGTTCGCGTAAGACTGAGACTCAATCAGTTTCGTAAATTTTCGACAGTTATAATCGGACACCTTCGTCATTATTCGTCATACATACATTCTTACAAACTCGTCCATCCTGACTATTATGTTTGGCGCGAACTAATCATTACTTTTATAATATTTTTATTATCTTACCATAAAATGTTCACAATATGCGTTACAAATCAAATTTACGAAGTCGGTATGCCAAGGTCTCATATTACACGATTCCCAAGTTCCTGAATACGGTTTTTGTGTAAGTTGAAAGTTCTCTACATCTTCTAAAACATATCTATCGTTACGTAATATTTTTTTAACTTCATATGGACCTTTGAACCGTGGTATGAGCTTTTTGGAGCCCCAGGAGTCGTGTCATAATTTCTTACCATGACATAGTCGCCGGATTGATACTTGCGCGGTTTCCTATTTTTCTTATCGTAATACTCTATGTATTATCTATGTATCATCACTATGCACAGCTTGCTCCAACAATTCCGCAACAGGGTCTAACACTTTACCTTTCTGCTCAATCCCGAATAATAATTTACTGGGGCGTATGCCCGTTGTACTATGTGCGGTATTGTTGAGTGCAAACTCGGAATCAGACAGCATTTTGTACCAGAGCATACCGGTAACGGGTTCGGAAAGCTTTGCCAGCATTGGACTCAAGACTCGGTTCGTTCTCTCGACTTGCCCTTTCGCTTTGGGTGACGCAGTTGCTATAAGAATGTGATTAACACCATTTTCCTCTAAGAAAGTTTTAAACTGTAGAGACGTGAAGCACGTACCGCGGTCGAATACTACATTTCGAGGTCTACTATAATACCGGAAGTAATCGTTGAGACAATTTATTGCATCTTTGCTTTCCGTAGTTTTTACCGGATATAATTGTATGAATTTGGTAAATCCGTCTATTATTAAAAACACGTGTTGTTTACATGAGATACGCTTATCGAGGGGACCAAAGTGGTCAATATGTATTGTTTGAAACGGCAGAGTACCTTTCGGAATAGAATTAAATTGACCCTCTTCTTTCCCGGTTGAAGGAGAGAACGCTATACACTTTAAACAATTCGCTACGTACAATTTTGCTTTCTCGCGCATTGATGGGAACCAGTAAATTTTTAAGATAGAATTAACAGTTTTTTCAGGGCCAAAATGGCCTAAGTCGTCGTGATATTTATGTAAAACGTGGTTCTCCATCTTCTCAGGCACATAAAGTAAGGTATCGTCATCGCGTTTTCTATATACTAAGCCATTTCGCATCTCGTATAACTTATCCTGCTCATTCTCGAGATTTCTTCGCAATTCCACTATTTTAGGATCAAGATTCTGACTGACTATTAAATTGCTCTCAAATGAGTTATCTTCCACGATCAAAACATTTACGAAACGACTAAATGCATCGGCATGATTCATTTTTTCTCACGCTCTATGCTCGAATGACTGATCAAAATTTTCCATTTCGAGAGACCAACGAGAAATGCGCGGATTAATATCTTTTTTATCTAATGTCAATTTGAGCGCATTACAGTCAGTGACAATCTTAAATCTTATTCCCTGAACGTAAATTCTAAATCGTCTCAAAGCATATATCACGGCCAGAGCCTCCAATTTGAAACTATGATACTTGCTTTCAGTTTCCGTTGTTCGCTTTGAGAAGTACACAAGTAAACCTACCCAATTGTCTCTCACCGATCTTAATAAAACTTGGTATACTTGTTAAGCATCGAAAAATAGTAGATACGTGTTTTTTATAAGTGCCCATATGTCGATTTAAGGGTTGAAACCACCCTCACAATGTTTAAAATATAATTAATTTGCCTAGTAGTAATAAGACGAAAAAACTCATTAAATAATAAAATTGACTTTTCTATTCATAGCCAAATCAAAAAACATATATTTATATAACTTACTGAACGTACAGTGCCGCTCAGTAGATTTTGCCCACCCTACAGAATTTTGGGCGTT